GGAGCTGTCCGGAACTCGACGATTGTGACGTGGACGTCCGTCTGCCGATGAGATGGCAGAGGACTCCCACGTCAAGTGCTGCTGCACAGCACTTCAGTTTACGCTGGACAGCGTAATACGGGGATGCATGGTTTATATTCATTATATGCTATCCTATTGGCTGGTGTCAAAAGTAAACTTGATTATGGGACGCGTAAACATGGACATTCGCGCGACCTCATTGGCTGTAAATCCTTGAGATGTGCAACAATCAAGTTTTCCAGCCGGACTTTTGATTATGGGACGCAAGTCACAAATTTTGGCCAAGCTACGAATATGATTAGTAGTTTTTCATTGGTAGATAAGGATTGATCTAGGATTTGAGATTGATAGACTTTAGGATGGGACCTGGATACTTGTTAGCGTGTCCTGGTCGCCAAGAACTGCTGGTTGCGCGGCGGCGGCGCGCCGACGCTAAACTAACGAATCAATCAATCTTTTTTCAACTTTCCAACTTCCTCTCAAGTGTTCTTCGAGCACTCGCCACTGCGCTCATCAAGCTTCGGGTCTTCGCATCGGCTTGTGTGACATAGTAGCACTTGTCGTGTCAAGCTTCGGTTCAAGTTCAAGACTAGGTTGCTCGTGGGGATACCTTCCGAAGCGAGTTTACCTGTGACTATTGGAGCTAGCCACATAGTGGGGACGCTCTAGGTTGCGAACATGCAGTTTTCTGTGGGAGCACACTTCGAAGAAGTGGGTACATCATGCCGTGGGCAGGTGGAAATACCACATTGGGGCTTGGCCGACGCCTAGACCGGATAGTACCTAACCTTCGGGGTTGTGTTGGACTCTTACTAGAAGTCGGTTCAGTAACAGGGCGCCTGCTTTGTGTCTGCTAACGCGGAACATTGTAGAAGTATAACGGTCCCTGGTTAACCGGTAGTAGTCCCTTGCCTTTTTCGATCTTTGGAGTCGGTCCATGGCCCGGTACAAAAAGGGTCATAACCACAGCAGTAAGAGGAAGCACCAAAAAGCGCGTGACGTTAAAGTATCATCAACGTCTACGCCGGCTCCTCCTCCTGTTACGGCTATTGACACCGATCTCTTCTTCTCGCCGGTCGAGGCGGAGAAAATTGCGAAATTGCAATCGGATTTTCTCAAGCAGGTCAAAACCGCTAAGAGGGTCCTGGTTAAGTTCCGCAAAGAGGTCTGGGGTATCAAGGACGACAGCGTTGAGGGTAAGGTTGATCGGCAACTCAACTTAGCTCTTCTCGACCTTAAGAGCTGCGAGGACAACATTGCTGCGAAGATTAACGGGCTTATCCGCCTAAAACCTCAGAAACACTAAGCTTTAAACACACTTTTAGCTTCACTTCGTCTCCGTTTTATTGTACCGTTTTACGAATCACTCGCCGAAAAGTCCACCTGCTCGAGACCTAATGCCTGTGACAAGGAGTAGGGCGGGTGAGAGAGAATCGCCTAACCCGCGGCAGCGTCAAGTGCCGCGGACGGCTCAAACGGAGGCGGCAACGCCACAAGAAGCGCAAAGTGAAGCCTCATCAGCGGGGACGACAACCCCTGCGCCTGAGTCAATGTCGATGCAGCAGTTGATGTTGTGGATTGCACAGCAGCAGCAAATGTATCAGAATCAGATGCAGACCCAGTTGCAGATGCAAATGCAACAGGCCAACAGTCGTTTTGAGCAACTACTGGTCTCGCAAGGTGAACGACGGAAGAAGGATCCTCCCACGTATGAAGGGAAATTAGGCGAAGACCTGGAACTTTGGATCTTTGCTACGGAGGAGTACTACGCTAACAAACGAGGAATAATGGAGGCCGATACGTCCGATTTTGTGACCATGATATCAAGCAGTTTAGGCAAGTCTGTGCTGAACTGGTATCGTGCCTTTTCGTCGGATTGTGATGCGGCGGGGATGCCGAAATCATGGCAACTGTTTAAGGCAAAGTTGCGCGAGCGCTTTCGCCCGAAAGACTTTGAATACAACCTGCGTGAGCGGTTGTTTCAACTGAAACAACACGGAACTATCCATGAATACGTGTCGTCGTTTCAGGATTTGATGTCTCAATCCGAGTTGGACAGTTCGGAAATGGAGAAGCGTTTCTACGTCCAGAATGGGCTTCGTGCTGAGACGGCTAAGAAGGTGAAGGAACTCAGTCCAAGGCTCTTACATGAGGTCATTGAGATTGCAACGAACTTTGAGTTTGCTCACTATGGAGGGCTATCGGTAAAACCTGCAGTGAGTCATCAGCCTTCGTCGAAAGCAGTTTCGTCTGTGAAACCTGCGGCTAACAGTACGGCCAAGTCACAGGAACGAAAGCCACCTTCGAAGCGTGGGCCGAAAGAGGATTGGCGAAAGTCAGCCACTTGTAACAACTGTGGACAATTCGGCCATATCAAGCCACAATGTACGTCCACCAAGGAGATGAACCACTATGTTGGCGGATCATTCTATGCTATTTTGGAAGTAAGCGCTTTAGCCTTCAAGCAGGATGAGACCCCCGCAGAAGTTTCGATCTTCGTCGACAATGGCAGCAGCCTCAACGGTGTCACGGAAGCGTTAGCCGAGCGACTACAATTGGAAATCACGGAGCATCCCGACGACATGATGACAGTTCGTCTGGGATACAACCAAACCGTGCAAAGACCAAGACGTACCGTCGAAATGATGCTACAGATTCCGAATTTCCCCGTGATGTGCGAGACTTTTACGGTCATGCCTGTTCCAGAAGACAAGGACGTGCTCCTCGGAATGAAGTGGCTTCGGGAGAATAACCCTGACATCGACTGGGAACGCTTACTACTGCGTCCACGTAATAGGACCGAGGAACCCCCGGCCCATCAGTTAGTGGTACCTAACCGATCTCCCGCACGTATGATTGGAGGCCGTCGTTTCAAGAATGCAAACCAGAACCGTGAAATATTCCATTACTACCGGCAGCATGGCCACACCGGTGCGTTCGGAGAAACGAAGCTGATCTCAACGAAGCAATTTATGAAAGAACTTCGCAAAGGGAAGGGTATTGAAGCGGTTTTTGTTGTGAACCCGCACGACTCAGAAAAGTCTGAGCGTTTTAAGCAACAAGGATGGGAGGCGCTAGTGGACAATCCGACATATGAAGTTTTGCTCAAGTACCGCGATACTGTGTTTCGCACTGAGCTGCCGAGTACCACACCTCCTGTCCGCGAAGGGATTGAGCACGAAATTCAGCTTCAGCCGGGGACGCAACCGATTTCGGTGAAACAGTGGCGCCAAAGCCCAGAGCAGCGCAAGGTCATCCAAGATTGGACGAAGGAGATGGTACAGGCTGGAATCATTCGCCCTAGCACCTCGGTATTCAGTGCCCCAACTTTTTGTGTCAAGAAACCCGTGGGTTGGCGTATTGTGCACGACTATCGCCAGCTCAACAGCTCTACCATTTTGCCGGCCATACCCATGCCGAGGAAGGAAGACACATTCGACGCAATGGGGGTAGTTAGTGGTTCTCCTGCATGGACCTCTTGTGGGGATATTACCAGGTTAAACTTCGTGAATCTGACATTCCATTTACTGCTTTTTCGACGCCCGATGGGCTGTTTGAGTATCTTGTTATCCCTATGGGTTTGAGCGGTAGTCCTGGCACTTTTAACCGGTTGTTACAGCGGGTGTTTAGCGACCTACGCGATGTCATGCGCATCTACTTTGATGACATCTATGTTTGCACTCAAGACACAGATGTTCGGACGCATGTCGAAGCGTTGGACAGAGTACTCCAACGCTGTCAAGAGCAGCAGCTGTATGTCAAGTTGTCAAAGTGCCAGTTTGGTGTCGAAGAGATCCCTTGTCTTGGTGATTTTGTGGGCCGCAATCGTGTTCGAATGGACCCTGACAAAGTGCGTGTGATTCGCGAGTGGCCGATTCCACGGACAAAGAAGCAAATGGAAAGCTTCTTGGGTACTACGGTCTATGTCTCGCGCTTTTGCGCCGACTTCGCGCAATTCGCAGGACCATTGCATGAAAGTACTAAGGGTTTGCGCCCAAAGGAAACGCTGCATTTGTCTGAGCACCAGTTGGAATGTTTTCATGGACTCAAGCGCCGTCTCTCCACCCCTCCCGTGTTGCAACTTCCTGATTTCGAAAAACCGTTCGGTATTCGTATGGACGCCTCGAACTTTGCCATAGGGGGAGTCTTGTTTCAAAACGAGGGAGGGCTCGAGCATCCGATCGCATTCACTGGTCGTAAAATGAAACCAGCGGAGCTAAACTACCCAGTGCGCGAACAGGAATTGCTGGCTATTATGCATGCGCTTCGGGTGTGGAGAGTCTACCTGCTCGATCGGCCATTTTCGGTGGAGACAGACCACAAGAGTATTGAGACTATATTGACGCAGAAGACAACAAACCGTCGTGTGGCTCGCTAGTTTAATGAACTAGCCGAGTTCCAACCACAGTTCAAATGGATTCCAGGCGACAGTAACCAAGTGTCGGATGCAGTGTCTCGAAACCCACTCTTTGAGCACAAAGCCGCTCAGGTTAGAGCTCATTGAAGCGGCTCGAAACCGTGAAATTGTAGCTAGCGTCCAAACGACCAGTGCAACTGTGACGCACTCGGCCAAACAACTGTACTATACAGACCGAAGAGTTCAGGAGCTGTTGCAGAGTATCGCTAGTGGTAAAGAGGTACCACGCTACTCTGTGAAGAATGGACTGCTGTATTACCAAACGAGAGATGATGAAAATGCTCGACTGGTAATTCCGGACAATGAAGATCTGAAGAACCGTGTTATTTGTGAAAACCACGATGTGGTCACGGCAGGTCACCCCGGATACTTCAAGACATACTTAGGCGTCCAGAAGAAATATTACTGGCCCAAGATGTCGAAGTACATTCAGCGTTATGTGAACACGTGCGAGCTTAGTCAGCGAAAAAAGGCACGCCAAACGAAGCCGCCGAGACTACTTCAACCGTTGGAAATTCCAGGAGGCAGATGGATTGATGTGACGATGGACTTCATGGTTGCACTACCGAAGACGGCAGCCGGAAAAGACGCCATTATGGTTATTGTGGACCGGTTGGCGAAGCGTGCTAAGTTCATTGCCACGAACACGGCGGTAACAGCAGAAGAGACTGCTGCGCTATTCATGGCCAATTATGTGAAAGACCATGGAGTGCCGAAGTCGATCGTCTCAGACCGTGACTCGAAATTCACATCAAAGTTCTGGCAGGAGGTGATTAAGACATTAGAGACAACTCATAACTTGTCGTCCGCCTTCCGCCCGCAAACGGATGGTCAGACCGAGCGTACTAATCGGTTTATTGAAGACTATCTACGAGGTGTCGTGAACCCATTCCAGAATGATTGGGATGAATACCTACATCTCGCCGAATTCGCGTACAACAGACGTGTCCATTCCTCGATCGGTATGTCACCGTTTGAGGCTGATCTGGGTTATGTGCCCTATATGCCAGATGAGGTGGCTGGGGACCCAGAGGTTGAGCAGTTGCAGAAGTCAGCACATGATTTCCTGCTCAAGCAAGACGCAATTCTGAAAATAGCACAAGACGCGATGAGTGAGGCGCAAACTCGAATGAAGTCGTATTATGACAAGAACAGGCTTGCTCAAGACTTCAAACCCGGGAATATGGTACTTTTGGATGGACGGAACTTGAACATTCGTCACAAGGGGTTTGCACAGGCGAAGAAACTTGCGCCAAGGTTTATTGGTCCTTACCCGGTCGTGAAGCAAGTTCAACATGACTCCTACGAGCTGAAGTTGTCGAAGGGGCTCAAGTTGCATCCCGTTTTCCACACTTCGTTACTCAAGCCGTATCGCAGCGACGAATCACGCAGCCAAAATGTTAACAAGGTGATCTTGAATGATGGCTCAGAGGGACAACTTGTACGTGAAGTCATCGGCCACCGTCGCAGGAAGAAGAAGCTCCAATATCGGATTTGGTGGCTTGGTGAACCCCGAGAAGACGCTACATGGGAACCCGTAGAGCACCTGAATCAGATTCCAGGGCTCATTGACAAGTACTGGGACTCCAAGGAGAAGTAAAGTGCAGCTTCGAAGTAGTGGGGCCTTCTTGGAAGGGAGGTCATGTGACGTGGACGTCCGTCTGCCGATGAGATGGCAGAGGACTCCCACGTCAAGTGCTGCTGCACAGCACTTCAGTTTACGCTGGACAGCGTAATACGGGGATGCATGGTTTATATTCATTATATGCTATCCTATTGGCTGGTGTCAAAAGTAAACTTGATTATGGGACGCGTAAACATGGACATTCGCGCGACCTCATTGGCTGTAAATCCTTGAGATGTGCAACAATCAAGTTTTCCAGCCGGACTTTTGATTATGGGACGCAAGTCACAAATTTTGGCCAAGCTACGAATATGATTAGTAGTTTTTCATTGGTAGATAAGGATTGATCTAGGATTTGAGATTGATAGACTTTAGGATGGGACCTGGATATGTCCTGGTCGCCAAGAACTGCTGGTTGCGCGGCGGCGGCGCGCCGACGCTAAACTAACGAATCAATCAATCTTTTTTCAACTTTCCAACTTCCTCTCAAGTGTTCTTCGAGCACTCGCCACTGCGCTCATCAAGCTTCTGGTCTTCGCATCGGCTTGTGTGACAATGATGATAATGCAACATCTCGAATATGGCCGTGATCCTTCTCTTGGCACTTTAAAAATTGTTGTACCGAACGATATGCCATACGCCGACCGAGTTGTCGCCTGTGTACGCTATGGAAGGGCGTAGGAGCCTAGAATCGTGAGCTCCCTGCTCGCATCAGAGGGTGTCGAGGCCATTTTGGAAGACGCAACAGGAGCGGCGAAGCATGGCTATCGAGTTGTTCAGCGGCGAGAAGTATCGACTGAAGATGCGCTAGACTCCGCTGCGTTTCTGTCCTACAGGGACACTTGCGCTCTCATCGCTTCCACCATTGACAACATTCTGGCAGCGTGTACAGCACTTGGCTACAAGAACTTCACCGCCGACGGCCTGAGGGTAGTTGAAGACGCTGACAGCAACAGGTTATTCAGGATACCGTACTCGCTTCCGGTGCTGATCATGCCTTACTGGGACAATGCCATCGACACGCAGTACCGACTTGGGATGGCGACGCATGTATGTTTCGTCTCGAAGACGCATATTATGGCGATGCAAACGGCGCGCGAAATATCTTCCAAGCGAGTCTTCGTGGAGTCAATACGGTTCGGTACGAGCGCATACTTCACTGGCTGAAGAAACCTGGCGGCGTGTGGCGGAATGGATGGTACGAAGACTTGGAAGGTGGACGCTGGTTTTCTGACGTCATGAGCTCAAATCCCGGGGCGCCGTACTACATGATGTTCCGGGTATTCAACACACGAACCGGAACGGAGCTGGATTGCTCGATCGAAGACAATTGTTTGGCAGCTCCGAGACTCGACAAATGGGGAACGAAATTCATCACATCGGACTGCGCGCGGGCTCTAAACTCGATCACAATCACTTGTGTCGAGCATTCGTAAGACAGTTTGACGACAAATCAAATTTAGCCATGTGATTGGCTAATATTATGCGTGGTGTTGTCCGTGTATGCCCTTGGCCGGGCCGTCTGCGTCGCCGTCGTGGCATGCACCAGCAACGGATAGCCGTGCTGACGAGCAGAATCGGCAGCATGAACGTGTATTTGTTTCGTTTTCGATTTCGTAGTAATGTGAAGTGCATCACAGTTATTTGGCCTAACTAGCGACCTACTAAATGCCAGGTCCTTCAAATGAAAGTGTGTATTATACATATTTTATGAGGTCCGAGGAGCTCTTCCATGAAGCCGCGTAGTCGGCGTAAGTAGGGAGATGCCCTTCGGAGGACACAACGCGGTTGGTACACGGAGAACTGAATTGTGCTTGAGCGTACATTGAATAGCAAACGAGTAGAATGTACGCTCGAGCACTCTCTAGAAACTTGTCAACAAAGCCGAAACGGAAACACTACGTAGATTCAAGCTTAGCAGACAGCAATAGACTGGCGCGGTTGTAAGCGCTCTAGATTTCAGAATCGCTGCCTCTTATGCTACGTAACTAACCCCGCTATTGAAGGAAGGCTTGCCCGCATCATGATACGTACAATGCAACCTGACAGTACGAAAACTCCTACAATATTTCCCTCCTGACACTATTCCTGTTGTGTTTGGGCACGGTGCGGCGAGGAAGGGTGGAGGTTGAAAGCAGTTGAGGGGGCGAAGCTGGTGTAGTGTAGTGTTGTTGAGGTGATGCTTGGGGTTCGAGGCAAATTGAAAAGTGAGATTGAGACTTAGAGGTAAAGACTGCTATCACTGCGAGACTGGCTGGCAGCAGAGGAGCTCTGCTGTCGAATCTCGGGCCCCATACACTACAAGTAATAGATCTAGAGCGCCTACAGCGCACCTCTGAATCTTGTACTTCGGCGGTGCGAGTAATCCCGTGCCGGCCGCATCACATTCGAGTGCTCGGTCAACGCATCCAGCTTCTCCGTTCGGACGGAGGCATTTTGTTCACAAAGAGAGATTCGCTTGCCTGTGGCGAGCTGCGAAAACGCAAGGAGTACGGCGCAATCCTTACAATTCCTTACCATCCAGGCACTGAAAAGCTCTGGGCGTGGCATTTTAAGAGCAACAGATCACAACAGCCTTAGCGCTAAGGCTTCACGCAAGGCCTGGCGCGGCCGCCGTGGCTGCAGCTAGAATATCATCCTGTTGTCGACGGACCTACGCGCCATGCAACTGCGTCGTCTTGGCGAACAAAGGTGCACCAACACAGCCTGCATCCGCACCGCTGTCGTGGTTGAGTGGGCCCGAGCATGTGCATGCAGCTCTGCACGTCAAGTAGAGCTTTTGACCAATAATATGGCGCAAACTGGTGTCCGACAAACTGTCTTACGTTTTGAGTGACAAAATACAATGTAGCCACTGGTATACTAAAATCAAGATGTAATCAAAATGCGTTGATTGCAAAACGTAAGACGCTTTGTCTTACGGTATGCTCTTTAGGGACCAGTATCGTCTTACGAAAGAGCATGAATCTCGAATGGCTCATGGTACGGCATCTTCCGCTATGACACAGACCAGGAACGAATTGTGCGGATCGTATACGATTGGGAGACGTTGGTCTCGAACTTGTCGGTCGGCCTTGTACTCATCCGATGGATAATGTCCCTCGTATCGCTCCACATCGGCGTCGTCCAGGGCAGACTACCCTGCTTCGGGGGTGGAATTGGCTGCGTCTCCGGGTCAACAAGCTTCGACTTCTTGTTAATCTCCATGCTCCCGCAACTCAAAATGACCCTGGCAGCGTTTTGGACGGTAGGCTGCCGCTTGAAGGACAGTAGTCCGGGCTTTCTGAAGCTTGGTTCACCATTTACCCCGCAATTGCTCAGCTCATGCTCATGTACTACAGCCTGCTCAATCTGCTGGCAAAAATCACTCGCCGACGAAGGTCCGACAAGCTCTTCGCCCCCACGGTGGCGTTAGTGTGCTTGCTTCATTATTTCCGCAGGGATTTGGCGGCTTCGGGCTGGCTGGAAGGCGTCGACGGTCGGGTAGCCACTGTTGTCTTTTGCGACGAGGTCAAGACACTGCAACTTCACGATTTCTTCACCACCAACGTCGCGTGGCGGATGAATGGCCGAGTAACATCAATGTTTATCGTCAAGCTTGTCGTACTGGGTGTGAACTTGTACTGGCGCCTTCATTTCCAGTTCGCAAAAGGTGTCAGAAGACATTTACGTGGATCGAGCAAGCTTTTGCGCTGAACGCCACCGATGTGGGTGGCTTAGGCATCTCACCAGTGTACATATACACGTCGGGCTCGGTGGCTGACGCAAGAGACAACTTGGTCACTCCATTTCCGCAAAATTCGCCACAGAAACACGTTTCAGCCGGTGATCTTCGTCACTCTAGCGTGTACCTGAACAACTACGAACTGGTCCGCTTAGGATACCTCCTATTTGGCGACAAGTACATAGTTACCTTCGACGAGTGGGATCTGTTGTCGTCAATGGCGCCATTCCGAGTGGAGGCTCGACGATGAAAGGTTACAGAGTATGTTGAAGTCACCAAGAGCGAAACGCTCGCTTGCGCGTACTGGCTGCCATCACCTGGATAAGGCCCGTTGGTTGTATTTTAAGCTGCAACAGCTATCCCGTCATTGATGTTGCTGACAGGCGTGGGGAAACGTAGGTGGGTCTCGGACATTTCGCAGCCCAAGATGATGGGGTTAGACTTCACGAGGTTGCTGAAATGCAGTGGCCCAGATACTCTTGTGGTCCATTTCGTGTTGGCCTGCACTGAGTACCTTAACCGAAGGGCGGAGAAATAGTAACAAGCGGAAGTACAACCATATATATCGTGACCGCCTTGAAGTCATCCTCCAACAATTCCTCTCACGTTTCCTCGGCCAGCAGAATCATTTTAGCGTAATCATCCTAAAAATATACGCACGATGTGGGAGCCCCGTGACTTTTTCGTCCGTCCGACACTTGGCAATCACGAAGTCCTTTGCGTAGCTACCGATGTCATCACTCATGGAACTAAACCACGGGCGTTCATGTATGCAAGGTACGCCAGCAATCTGCCACGCTCCAGCCGACACCCATGCACCTAACGTCAGCTCGAGCTTGTTTCGTGAAGAACTTGACCGCTTCAGTCATTCGATGGGATGGGTCTTCCGAGACTTGGACGGGGAAGCCAACCGCGGTATGGCGTCCTTGAACTTGCCTCCATGCGTCCAATTGCTAACGAGAATCTTCTGGGTAGATATCTGCAATCCACAGGATGAGAGGGAACCATCTCGCACTGCTTTCGGGACGACCGTCGAGATCCCAAGTGATTTCGTTGCCCCAACAAACGCAGCTTCAAAAAAGGGCAAGCCACGGCAAAAGACCACGAGTGGCAACACGAGAATCTACCGCAAACGAGCCACGAGACCAACGGCGTCTTCATCTGCCAAAACGCACCCAGGTGACGCCAACCTCGCTGCATGCAGCTCGAAGAGCACGGCCAAATCGCCCAAACGCCGAGCGAAAAGGTCATCAAACAAGCCCGCCACGTCGAAGGGCGAGCCGATCGACTTCGTCTACGATATCAACGTGCGGCGAAAGCTACGAGAGCAGCTTGACGCGGAGCGCATGCGCGTCTTAGAGGAAGCCTCGGCTCGAGAAGCCCGGCTTCGAGCCGAGAACAAATGGGTCTTCGACAAACGTGACAAGTCTCTGCCAAGAAGGAAGCAGGCGTGGCAATCCAGTAGCAGCCCCAGCAAAAAGCCTTCCAGCCCCAGTACCACAAACCCACACGCCAAAAGCAAAGCACCCCACGTGCACAGCAAACACACAACCAGCAGCAACAGCATCAGCAGCCAACGCTCCTCCAACAACCTGACATCTTCTTCGAGCGAGCGCGCCGCCTCCAGCTCCAGTTCCTCCTCTTCCTCTTCACCCAGCACCTGCCACTCGTACACCCCGTCCGCCTCTCAACGACAGCGCAGCTCACTTCGCCCTACCGACGCCATGGACGACGTCGAGGCCTCCATCCGCGACTTCGAGCGGCGGCTGGAGACCCACTGGAGCCTTCACGTCGACAGTCCCTAGCTCACGTGTTCTCTCATAGCATAGCATCGTCAAGTGTACTGTAACAGACCCTCACCTCAACACAAGAAATGCCATGGAAAATAAAATGAAAGAAAAATAAAGCAAAGAGGAAGGAAAAGTGCCTAGCAGCTTAAACAAGGTGAAGTCGGGTCTGGCGGGGTCTGGATCCTGCGATCAGGGCGTCTAGGCCGTGCGCAGCGGCGGCGCCACGAGGATGACGACGTCTCCGCGCACGAAGAGCATCTCGATGGTGCGCTTGGACTGCTTGATGAGCTCCTCGTACGTCTCCGGGTCCAGCTCCTGCACCGTGATGGTCTCCTCCACGTCGCTCAGCACCATGTTCAGGTGCTGGTCGTAGGCTTGCAGCACGCCGCGCAGCTCGCGGTCGCCGCGGCACTTGACGTAGATGCGCTCGGCCACGCTCAGCTTGATCAGATCCAGCGGCTCATCAATCGACGCCATGGCTCGCTCGGCTCTGCGGGGAGTGCGGAAGTGCGCGCAAGAGTGATGGTGCCGCCCCGAGATGTTCTCTTACAGGAAGATGCAGTCGGTTCTACTACAGAATAGCAGATATTCAGCCAATCGTCTTCCTCGTCTGTTTTCATTGGTCGAATATTGCCACTCGCCGTAGGTGGCCGATTCATTGGCAGAGCGCAATAGACCAAGGCGGCAAGTCCCGGTAGACCAAGGCGGCCCGGAGTGATGCGCGGCGAGAACGCGGGCGTGCTGGACGCCATGAGCGACGTGAGTGAGTCCTCGGACAGCGACGAGGAGCTGCTGCACGTGTTGGACCCGTCGGACCCGCGCGCGCACCGGCCGGCGCCCAGCGTCGTGCAGCCCACGCGCGCGCCCAAGACGACGTCGAAGAATCAGACGGCGTCTCGCTGGGACTCAGACGACGACGACGTTGGCGAGCCAATCAGCGTGGACTCGGACGCTGAGAACCAGACGAATCAGGAGGAGGAGCCCGCCGTAGCCGAGCGTGGTGACGCCCCGCCCAAGACAGCGACGAATGAGGCCGGCGGCGTGAAGCTCTCCAAGTGGGCGGCGCGCTTACTCGTGCCGGCCAGCGAGCGCAAGATCCCCGTGTTCGAGGAGCCCCCGCTCGAGCCGCTGAACGACTTCATCCTGAGCGACTTCGGCACGAGATTCCGCGGCAATGCGGGCGACGTGGAGGTGGAGAAGGACATCACGGCGGAGGACGACAAGGAACAGCAGGACGACGACAGCAACAAGATGCAGGTCGGCGCGCCGCTGTTCGACGCCAATTCGACGAGCAACGACAAGGAGAACCATGATGGGAATGACGCTGAGGACGGCAAGGACAAGAAGAGCAAGAAGAAGAAGAAGAACGCCGAGGACGGGCGCAAACGCAAGGAGAACAGGTACTTTGTCACAGACCTGGCCACCAAGTGCTTCCACTGCGGAGAGGTGGGCCACATGGCTAGTGTCTGCATGAACGACAAACTGCAGCCGCCCTGCTACTACTGCGCGCTGCGGGGCCACCAGTCCTGGGCGTGCCCCAATTTGCCGTGCACCAACTGCTTGCAACTGGGTCATCAGGAGCGCGATTGCAGCAATCGGTCGCTGGACATTGATCCGTGCAGTATTTGTGGTCGCGCCGGCCACATTGAAGACAACTGCGACAACGTAGGAAGACAGGAACTGCTGACCTGTATGGTGTGCACGAAAGTGGGGCATCTGCATTGCGTGCCAGTCCCTCCTCCTGCCGACAGACGCGTGTACTGCCCCCACTGCGCGAAGAATCATACGCTGGACGAGTGCGATACGTACAGGGAGCCGACAGCGACCAACTTCGCGGCCAGGACAGCCAGTGGTCGCACAGTGCAGACTTGCTACGAGTGCAATGAGGCCGGCCACATCGCCGCCGAATGTCCTGTGCGCCTGAACGGATATGGTAGGAGCAGAGGCAACTGTTTCAAGTGCGGTCAACCCGGACACTTCGCGGCGGATTGCTACAGCTCGAACAATAACAACAATGGTCGACGCGTCACTGGTCGCAAACGTGGCCGGGATGTGGAGGACGAGTACCCGGACTACAACGGCTACGACTATGATGAGGATGAAGACTATTACTCGTACGATAGATCGTCCAAGGGTGGCAAGAAAAACCGGAACCGCGGAGGCTCGTCTCGGTCGCGGAAAAGCTCTGGAAACCAAGGTTACGCGCGCTTGAACGAGGCGCTGCCCACAAGACCCTACAGAAGCAACAACAACAACAGCAGCTACGGGGAGCGAAGGCGCAACTCGCGTCGGTAAATAGGTCGTCGTGTGGGTGTGACAGAGAGCGGTTTGGCTCCCGTATCATATCTTCGACGCGTTGTAGCGTACACATATACGGAACATGTACTGGAAGCATGGCGCTGCTAGGGAGGTGTGGTGAAAATGCTGTTGAATCTATTTCCTCTTGATGAGCTTGGTCACATTGTCGTAGAGCTTGAGGTCGGTGAACTTGGTGTCGAGTGTGGCGAGGCAAATTGCAAATCCCTGGAGCGGGTTGAGTGGGTACTGCAAAACTCAAATGACGGGGGTGTTCGTGAGATCACAGTGCTATCATGAACTATAACTGTGAACAAGCCAGAACGTGCCTTGACATCCATGACGAATGTACTTTTGTGGCATTTGCATTGCCTGCGTGGTCCAGGTGGTTGGCAGGATACCCTACCAAATTGCAGCACAGTCTCGTCTCCGAGAGCCTGAATGCCGCAGTTGAGAGAAACAAGGTTAGCTCGCGAGGTGGCGTATATCGTGCGAATGACTGCATCACTGGTGTCTTACGTCGCACATCATCTGGAAGTTCTTGATCGACGGCATCGTGACGCGCCCACCGAAGTCCAGGACATGCCCGCCAGTCTTTTCGTCGAAGTGCGGTCTCTTGTTGTGCAGCATGAGAAGCTTTTCGCTTTCTGCACTGACAGCATCCGCTGGCTTATCCTTCCAAGTGGATGCAATACCGTTACCTTGCAGGTGGGGGATCTGTGCGGCGAGTCTCCCGGGGCCCATGTCATCGTATGAGAACTCGACAGCGCCCAGGATGTTCCGAACATTCGCTTCGAGTGCTGTTTTGTCCGGACTCATGCCGTCGTCGTACATGGTGTACTCGGACCCTGACTGTACAACGTACGGTGGAGACCCAGGTTAGCGTGGCGTGGATGGGTACCGTATTCGTATGCAAGACTTTCGTACCCAGTTGCTCCGCAACTTTCCAACAATGAGGTTGCTGCGTCGATTAGTGGGGTTCTGCTCCATGGTGAGCAAGTAGTTGGACGTTTTGCTGCTTGCTCGCTTTTGCGCGCACAGCAAAAACTGCTTCCCTGACTCGAGGAAGAGGCGGAAGACGGGGTGGAGTCGGTTGAGCCCCTTCCGATCGCGTTCCACGTAACACTATGGAGGAGCAGGACGAGGGTGAGCTTTTGCCAACAAACCACAGTATTTAGGAGGACAGACGCGCATTTACCCGAATAGCAGCGGAACCTTGGGCAGGTGATCGCAATACGAATGAGCGAAGCGCATCGATCTCTGCCCGTCTCGTTCCTCCGGAGAAACCCGCGTCCTTGACAGCAGCGCTGGCCGCTCCAAAGATTTCCCGGTTGGCGTTGATAACTGGTGCTGAGGTCGACAAAGCAGAGTTAGTCGTCGTAATGTGTTGCGAACTGTCGGTAGCGTTACAAGCTACCTTCGCGTTCTTGATCAGAGTCGTCAGAGTCATTGGGGGCGTCGCCTTCCGAATTGTGACTGCGGCTGAAGCTGCTGCTACCCTTTCGTGATGGGGGCTTCTCATTGGAACTCGGGAACGAAAGTCGCCGCCGTCGAGAGTCGCCATCCTTAGCTTCGAGCTCACTGCTCTTCGCTTCACTTCGAGCGTCCAAGTGTTTGGAATTGTCGGCAACTTTTTCTTGCGGTCTTGGGGACGACAATGTCACGCGTCGACGGCTCTCAAGGCCGTCGTACTTTCGACGGTCCTGCCACGGTTCGTGGGGTTTTGCCTCTCGCTCCTCCCCATCGGAATCGAGTTGCAACTCGGCCATCATTTGGTCGTAAGTTGCTTGTTGGCCCCGCTGGCGTGTCATGCTGCTTTTGAGGTTGGAGTGCACCGAGTTGTCTGATACTGGCGCTCACGACCGGAGGGCTCCTAAAATGGACTAAAATGGACTCCCCTCCATGATTTGGTGGTTTCATCGATGGTATGTCAACCTGATAATTATAGTTTTGCCTCCAAGGTATGGAGGTGTGTGCACGAAGTTGTATTTCGAGGGAAGTTGTATTTCGAGGAGCTAATTTTGCTTTACGTGGCACCTCCGACGATCGGGAACTGCAGGACTGCGAATTCCATGCATCTCTCGTCAACCGAGATGGTGAAAGCGTCGCGTACAGTACGAAGACTCACCTCACCTGCGTTGCTACAATCCACTCAAGATGCTCCGACTGGATGCTCGATAACAGGATTCATCTAGCGTCCTGCAGCATTTGAGCAGCGCTGCCCACACAACTTCGACAACTACGACCTTTCAAAGTTGCAACATGCAAGGAGTCCATCTCTCGAAAACACTACGTGCACTATTGCCATTTATTTCCACCAGAGCTTTGTATCCAGTTGGAACTTGTTGAAAGACAGCCTTTTGGCTGTCTCGCGCTTCAAGGTAATTCCACTGCATTTGAATTTGAATTTGTTGCAGTTTAGACGGCTAACTTCACCCGATTCCACTGCATATCCGTGACGCCAAAGGGTCAGTTGGCTCGTGCTTCAAACTGTGGCACAATGGTTCAGGCTTTCTTCAAATACGCTCACCCACAAGCATACAACTCAACGCCTCATTATGACACTCTGCGCCAGAAGATTTCCGTGCATTGCGTACGCCCAGTTCATACGGGTCGAAAATTACGGAAAATAGGCTCGAATACGACATGTACGACAATACACCTGCAGGCTGCGGTACACCAAATGCCAACAAATCGATAGGGACATCTGGGGAGTGAACATGTCATTATCAGTCCTGCCTGCAAGTATGATACAAAGCTGCATAGTGCATCAAGTCTTCAACCAACTCATAAAGTTTGATGTACCAAGAATGATGCAACCGGAACATACTTGGCTGGTCTCTCTGTCCTCATTCTCCAATTCCCACTTTACGTCGCAGTACCACCCTCCCCCTCCAAGACGCCCGACCATGAAGCTTAGCCAAATTGCGATCTTCGTAGCTGTGTTCTGCGTGGCTCAGATCAATGCTGCGAGTCCTGGAGACAACGATCTAATTCGAGGTCCGTACTATGTACCGCGCCCGAACTGAGGATAACTCCAAGCAACTAGTCAACGATTCAGCCCTGAAGATACCGCACGTTCGTGCTCTCGCTTAATCTGCCTTTGTAGGCAGCGTATGCCAAGTAATATACTTCGCATACTTCTATTGGTTTTGCGAAAGAACATGGATTCCGCCAGTATTTACGAGGTGTATTGAAGGAAGAGGCTCAGCCCACTCATCCAGTGGCGTCTACGGAAGCGGGCACCATGGTAGAAGTGATCGATTAGGTAGAAGACGCTGACAGACGACGCTAACTAAATGAAGTCGCCAGCACAAGCTGCCGGCAGTTTGAGGCAGAGATCACTTGGCGTTTTACCTCTAACAGCAAGTTTAGTTTTGTTTTTTTGCCAGCAATGCTCTTTGAGTGTTATGAAAGGTTTCACTGGAGTAGGTTTCATGAAACCTACTCCAGCTTCCAGCAGGCTCCGAAATAAGTGCCTAACTGTAAATATACGCCACCAGGTCAAGTACTGGGGCCTTCTCTCTCTAATGATAGTTCATTGCCACGAGGGGGTGTCAACTTTAGACCACACACTACTGTTTATAGGAGTCCTTTATTTGGCCAATCTCTGTAAAAAGGCAACTTTTGGTAAGAGTGACGACAGTTTATGTTGAAGTTGCATCTTCCCTACGGCAATTTCTCTCAAGACATTAGCCAGGTATACAGCAAGTTAGGAACCTAGATGCGTGCTGTAATGAGGACGACATGTTATTAATACCGTAAGATAATGATATATTCACGCGCATGTTGAAAATTGCGGGGCCCAGCGTTATACATCGCAACGGAGGGCAAACTGCATAAAGCACCGCGTCATCAGCGATGAAATCGTCGCGAGGACAGGCTCGCACGACGCCGCGCCTCTGCCCAATTGCATATTCAAGAGCGTCCTCCTCCGCAATCAGCGTGCAGAGTAGCGGATCTAAAGGGCGTGTGCAGCCCTTTTCTTCGAACCGTGAAGGTAAATCGTGGCAACGTTAGCGTATCCCATGATGCTGGAGTTGTGGGCCACGGCGGAGGAGCGCTGGGCGCCAATCTTACATCGTGTTACAACCGAGAAGCAGACCATGAAACCTTCTGCTTGGTGGTGATCTACAGTACATACAGGCACCGCCGATATCCAGAAATGTATGTTCACGCCTGGGGCGGACCTTGCTGCAAGGTCAAAGTCAAAGCTGTACATCCTGGAGTGCAGTGTCGTGTGCGCGAAGCGAAACCTTCAGCGCGACAAGTCCCCGCGTAGCATTCGTAATATACAGCCGGTCTCTGCACAATCGCTTTTGTTTGCCCACAACAATTTTCACGGAATCAGATTTCCCCAGGTCTGAACATTCTGATAACTCTGGAGCTTTTGCAGCAGCACTAAAGCAACTCAACTCTCTCTATGGCAACATAAGCTCTCTTACCGCAACTTGCAGCTGTCCATCAAGACTGCCCTACACTCGCTCACCAGCATGGGGATGCCTGCTGTCTAGGCTCTCGACTCGCTCTCCCCAGCCCAGGATCAATCTTGAGCTTTGATTCGTGCCGAATCTCCCCAATCCCGAAGCTTCCTGGGCCGTAATGTAGGGGGGCCATTCTCCAATTGGACTCGTGCAGGGAAGCTTCCTCTCCTCTCGCACGCGTGTTTCAATCCCACCAAACCAAACCAAACCAAACAGGAATCGACAGGTATGCAGCTCCTCAAGGGCCTTTTCGTCGCCGCCGTGCTCTGCATGGCCACGGTTAGCGCCGGCAACCAGCAGCAGCATCAGCAGGAGCAGAACAACGGCAACCAGTACCAGGTCGAGTCGGACTCGGGCTCCAGTGAATCGGACGACGGCGCCACCCAGCAGGGTTTCAACGTGCACCACGTCAACTTCGCGGCCAGCAACCCCGAAGAGGAGAAGGGCGAGGAGAAGGAATCCTCGTCCAGCGCCGTGCCCCTCATCGCGGCCGTGGGCGCCTGCGCCTGCATCGGCGTGCTCGGCGCCGTGTACCTCAAGCGAAGGAAGGATGACGACAAGCTCCCGGGCGAGATCTTCACCATCGACGACAAGAACTCGGTGCTGTAAGCGTGTTGCGGCCCCGGGTGTCGCCGCGCGTCGACGTCGACGAGGTGCGCAGGGGGCCATGTCTTATTACGTCGGTAGCATTAATTGAATTGAAAGTGTGTGTGAACGAAACACGACTTTGGTTCGACCGAGTGCTGGCTAGCAGGAATGGGAGTGAGTTGCGTGCTGCTGTTTTTAAGGTGGCGGCAGAGCTGTTCAGCAGGCAATGGCTAGGATGTTGATGACGGATTCTTACGACGAATACGAGGTTGCCTTGGGCTTACGATGCGTTTGTCTGACCCCCTCGTGCTGGAGGAGGTACTGTAGCACTGAAATGCATGTTGTGAGCCACTTCGACCGAGATAGGTTTGGAGCTCGAACAGCAAACACGCTGAGTTTAATGGGCCCAAGAACCGACACGCTCCAAATCTTGTGAGCTTGCATGGCCTTACCAGTTCACCCATGAAACTACCGTGCTCGACATCGCGTGTCTGCGGTGTCTGTCAGTGCACTCAACCAACTGCAGTGACAGCGCCGGTGATGGAGTCTTGTGCATCCAGCGTCGCATCGAAACCTTTGGAGATATAATTGCACGGACACAGCACTTGAAGCGTCAGCTCGCACTTGAGAACGCTGATTCTATCCCTCAGCCTAAACAAGGGTGCGTTGCGTTAGGCTGGGAGGACTACTTTAAATGCCAAAAAGTCTGCTCGGTTGTACTGTATCTAACGTTAGCTCGATTTTACCAACTCGAGTACAACTATATCTTCCATACTGGAACACTTTGAAGAAACTAATAGATGTCTTCTTTGGCTACGAAGTAGCCAAGTCTTGTGCTAATACTTCGCCTACTGAGTGGTCGAGTGTTTTGGCGCCACTACAAAGCTAAGCCAAATCCAAAACAACAACCATCAATACATGCGGTAGCAGTACCAAACAGTGGTTACGTACTATGTTCACATGCAAGTAGCAAATGAGGGCGAAGCCCCTCATTTGCATCATTTTTCTTAGGGAAATTTCAGGAAGGTGAGAAATTTCAGGAAGGTGACTCAATATTAAAATTTGTGCAAAAGGTGATAGATGGATTTGTGTCGAGAGCACATATTTCAGGTTCAGCAGCATTTGCTAGGGCATTGGGCCACGACATTGTTGCCTCCAGCGGCGACATGGAGAGTAAGGCATCCAAGCCGTCGGTGATGCTTTATGCAGCGTGGGCAGTGTCGCTTAAGCGACACAGAAGGCGACCGTACTCCACCAGAACAACTATCAGCAGAGGGCGATGCCTACACCGGCACCGCCTTCGCGTTTACCCAGTGCTATACTGACACAATTGGTGCATTCAGCGACGTGCATGGCATGCACTTGGCACAAAGCCTTGTCTCACCTTTTGCACAAAATTTCATTTTGAGTCATATTCCGGAATTTTCCTTTTTTATCCCTCAGCCTAAATAAAACTCAGGTCCATGGTGTCGTCATCCTGAGTTTTGTTTTACTTAAGTACACATTGTGTGCGTTGAGTTTTCGCTATACCTGTAGTTATTGCCGCTTGCAAATACTTTGCCCTCTAAAATAGACCTCTAAAATAGACCACGCCTGTCGCTTAATATGAGCGGACACGAGATAGGCGAGGGATTTATGCTTTGGTGGGGGCCGCTTTTAGGCCCAGAAACTCGGTTTGGCCCGTCTAGAATGGCATTTCTGTCGTAGCAAAGCGTGAAACAGACCCCAACCTTGCATCTTAGACCCGTACTGGCGAGATATATAAATCAGACCTAGGTCTCAATTCAGAGCTTGCTAGACTAAAATCGAGATTATTAACGAGATAATAAGCATGCGTTGGCCAAAATATCTGCAAACGGCAATAAGTAAGTATAGTAGTAACGAAGCTGCACATCAGAGCATGCACGGCAAAAAATATGTATTTTAATACATATTTTTTTAAAAATGCCACGCAAAGTTTGCCCCTTTACTAAAATGCCCCAATGTACTTTGAAAAATGCCACGGGCTTCAAACTACTGCATCGTTTGCTCGCCCCGAGTGCCCACCGGCGTTAACCGCTAAGGAATAACTTCATCGCTGATTTTGAAAAGAAGACGTGCTCGTGTTTGCACTTTGAAAACCACTTTTATCGTACCTTCACGTCCAGCCAGTTGTATTTTGCAGCCAGAGCATGTTGGAGCTCATGGATCATCCATCCTTGACTGATTTTTGCGCGGTACGAAGTTGGACAAGCGAGATGGCTGCCACTGCTTCCGTACAAGTCACTCAGCGCCGCGTCAAGGCCGGGATTGACCAGCTTCGGAAGGAACGCAGAAAAATAAAAAACTGCAATGGTTGTGCGCGATCAAGTCCATTACACTGTTTGTTGTGTTGGATTCCTGATCACAACAAACGTCGGCGCGATGGATTCGAGAAGCATTCTCGAGCCCCGGATCGCGTTCACGAACTTGCTCAGGTCGATAGTGCGGCAAGATCCGGACGAACAGGCTGGAAGGTGCATAGTTGGCATAACATCAGTCCACAACCTTATTCATGTTCGAGGCTGCGTTGCACTCGATTGTTCACCTTCCACCTTGTTCTTGCGCTTGATTTCAGAAGCATTGTCAAACATAGTTTAAGTAGCAAGTGTATCTATCGTGACATTTTACATTTGTAGTACCGGCCAACCTTTGCGTGGCATGTTGATAGGTTTTGCAATAAGTAAATACGAATGTGCCGTAGTTTATCAAAGGGTTCGTTAAGTAAACGAGAGTCGTAGTCACAGTTACAGCACGCTTGGGGTCCCTGCGCTCCTTGTTTATAAGCCCTACCGGCCAAAAGCACACACAAAAACCACGTTGCTGTAACTATGATCGAAATGGCTCCAGGTAACCACAACCTCAACAACGGCTTTTGTGATGCAGAAATTCTTTTTGTAAGGACTGTCATTGCCGCGTCGAGAAGCGATGCCGCATGAAGACCTCTCCATGGGCGATCCACCGCACAGTCGGTCGCTGAGACCGCCGGGAACACAGACAACTCCCTGTACTGCAACGAAAAAGTGGTTGGCGAGCCACTTCAGCGTCGTCGGGTCCACGACACAGCAAAATCTTGGATGAACAAAATGGACGTTCGCTCCATCAACATTGCGGTCCGGTCTACCCTTCTCCACCAGCCTGCCACTTCCCGATCTGTCGACTTACAGCGCTGGTTCACCCGGGCATGACTCCACTTCCCTGCACGCATAGGACTCGTGGCTCCCGACTCCTTCCCTTTTTATCCCTTTTCAACTTTACAAACGCTCCTATCAACTCATAATTCATCGGAACGACTTCCCTATCTACCGAGCGAAACCCACTACAGTATAATACGAGTCCAATCCTCCTCTTCAACAACATATCTTCATACGTACCTCTCTTAATCATAACTAGCTCTGGCAGCCGCGGTCAATCGAATCTTGTGCGTACCAACGAATCCTTTATTTACTCCAACCTCGGAAATTCAAACCGAGCACTTGACCCGCGTTACTTCGCGGCAGCAAAACCTGTACTTGAGAACGCAGTACGGGTACTTACGTGCTTGTGTAAGTTTTCATAACTATCGCGGATTTACCGACAAACAAGAGTGTGTCGCCGCTGCGCACCTCAAAACGAGAACATACAGCGCGTATACGATGCACCGCCACCTCGTGATCGTGCATTTCACTTCACTACAGGACCAATGCGGAGTCCGCATGCAGACGAAAAGTACGCGAAGACTACGCTGTCGTTGCCATCAAAATGACACAACGTCAACAAACGTTTCTGCGGCGCAGGCTTTCTCTTTTTGTAAGGTTCGTCACGGTGGTTGTCCGTCGCAAGGCGGTGCTGCTTGACAACCTTTCGAGATCGGCGATCCATCTCACAGTTGGCGAGACCACCGGGACAGTCATACAGTATGCGCGCGTGGACATCGCGTTGAAGTGCAACGGAGCTGCTGCCAAAGCGACTGGCAAGTCACCGCTTCAACGTTGCCGGGTCCACGTCGGCCACGACTGCCCAGAGTCCCCCTCACGTCACCGCTGGACCGCGGCGAATTGCTCGGCGATCACCCAGGTTTACCCGCGCTGGGGCCTCTATGACTGCTATCAAAGCATCTGGGCCCAGCAGCGGCGCTCCTTTTCACGGGAGACTCCCACCACATCAACAATGCACAGCGATCTCGACGCACGACTGCGAGGCCCGCATTGGGCTCTGAGGACAGTTGAGCAAAATGCGCTACGTGATGTGATACCAACGGCCAAGTGGTTTCCGCAGCACTGGCAGTCGATCCGCCGAGCACTTTCGCCACGTGAGCCTGTTTTGCAGGCAAGTCGCGTGCGTGTGCCGGGCTCAACTCGCTGCAAGAAATCGTAGAGGTCCGCCACCGATCTTGGTGTCGCTTAATAAGCCGCTGTTTTTCAGAAACTAGTCGAGCCGTTCCCCTATCATCGCCGTCGCTGCCTGCCTGGTCGTGCTGTCGAGGAGCTCGGCTCGGAAGCGGCTTCAGGGCCTGAAGCCGCTTCCGAGAAGTTCAGGCACAGCTCGCTCAGCCTCCGTAGTATGGAGTCCGTACAAAATTCAAAAATGTATAGACGGCAGTCCGTCCCCACCCAGCTCGGGAAGGCTCCATGCGTCCCGCTAGGTACACGTACACAATGGGGTTGACTGCCCACAGCAGCTAGCGACTTGCTCACGATGCGAGAGCCGCCAGGCTGTCCACGCTTGTCGCGCGGGGCATCAACACGGCGACCCCGCAATAGCGAAGCGTCCACCATTGCACGCGGTTGAAGAGGATGGCCAAGAAGATGGTAGGCTTTGCTCAGCGAGGACTAATGGTGGTCCTCGCCGAGTTAAACTTTAAACACGTGAGTCGCCGCAGACTCTGCGCGTGTGACAACACCTCTAGATAGCAAGGTCGTCCAGCAGCGCAATCCCGCCGGCGCGATATGCTTTGTGGCTCACGACGGCACGCTCGCGTCGGCCATGCAAACGTTCTCGAGCTCTCGGGCGTGGCTGCCGAGCAGCTCATGGTTTCCGGCGGAAGTTCCGCCGACTGATCCAATGCCAGCGGCTCGGTGGGGGGTTGATGCGTGCTGCAGCGCCAGCCGGGCTCGCAGTGGAGCCCGGCGCCATCCAGTTAGCCCGGCCTCAACTTCTTGCTGCGGCCTGCGGAAGAGATTCGCGGGATCCCAGCTGGCGGTGACAGTCACCGCAGCACTGCAACTTCAGCAGCGCTCCACCTGCCAGACTGGCATCCATCCGCCTGCAGCCAGCGCGTTGCTGACATGACGCGGTTTCATCTTGATTCACCCGCTGTTGCTCGCGCTGCGCGCCACCGAGTCGTTCGTGGTGTGCGCGCGGGTCTTTCGTGGCGCCCACGCGACTTGTCCGACCACCGACCGTCGGCGAGAACTAGAACTAGAAATGCAGACTTCACACTAGACTTTGACGCGGATCCATGGCATCTAATCTGAGCCATGCCGAGGCTGGTCGTCGGCCCATAGTAAAGCCCCAATCTGATCTCGCCCATGTTGGGGCTTCCGCACAGCCAGCCGCATGGCCGCTTACACGACTCGTGTACATGTAACACGAGCGGAGGTGCTCGCTTCGATACGCTTGGGCTGGGCCAGATGTGTGCATTTTGTCGTCGAGACTCTACCTCGAACTGAACTCCGACGTTTGGACGATGTTCGCCGGCACCAGCTGGTAGCTTGTAGTAGTAATCCGACATACTTTGGTACGGGTAATATTTTCTGATTTGAAGTAATATTTCAATTACGACGCGTAATATCATGCGAGTACTACAATAGTAATAGCACTCCCTCTTGGAAGCGACTATTTCGTGGGGTTGGAGCAACCGTCCATGCACTTGTTGTAGCTGCGCGAACAGTCCGTATTTGGTGCAGATGAGCAACCGTCTTTGCTTGCTGCAGCTTAGCGTCTTCTGTAGAGTCTTCGCGGTGCCGGGCTAGAGCCCAGCAACGGCTGCACAATGCGCTTCAGCTACAACAGTGTCCCGATCGCCTGGAGCACGCCGTAGAACGCTGGTTTCCCGATGTTTATATAGATGTTTTTTTATGGAGAGAAGGGAGGTCAGTGCGAGCAGAAGAAGCCAACTTGCCTTCCCAATCAAGAGTGGGACGCCCACGCGATCTATGTAGTATAGGTAACCAAGTCCACCAATTCTTGAGCTTCAGCATATCGACGAACCGCTCATTGACGAGCTCACCCGCTCCCCAATACGACGTGACCTCCATCGGTGTATTATCGTGAGAGCTAAGAGGTGACTGGTTGGGCTGAACGAGACTGCACCAGTTCCATTTATAACTCTATTACACAATAGGTAAGTAAGAGGAGCCGCGGCAAGTAGGCACTGATAGGTCCCCAGCGCCGCGTTTGCACGCAGCCGGTCGGTTACAGCGCTCGCGCTGCGTGCCGAAAAACGAGCGTGTCTCGGTGAATAGTTAAAATGGAAAACCTAATCCAGACCAGCAGTCTTTAGTTTTAATGAAGGCGTAGCTCTGCCAACTAAAACGTTGCCAGTCTATGGTAGAGCTGAGAGACTCGGGCTGGTCAGAAGGTTTGAAGGCATGATAAACAAAATACTACCTTCACGTATACCTCGGTAGACTAAACTCGGTGAATTATGAGCAAGGATGCACGAGTTACATCTCCAACGATCTTTCCTTAAGTACATGACGACGGTATTTGGCAGTGGCTCTAGAGCGTGTGCTACCCGCATCTTGGTGGGTAGTTGGTCCGGAAATCACAGGTTTACATCGAATAGAGATCTTGACCACCCATGTCGCTATTTCTGGGTCGATACGATAACAATGCTAGCCGAATGTAACACAAAGTTGAGCTGCCACGGGGGAGAGGGGCGAGTTAGCGAGCAGGGCTCACTAAATGACACATTACTCGCCCAACAGAATCCGACTTGATACAGCACCGAACATGCTCAGAGTATTCACATATGCGGCAAGCTTGTTGCTCGCACGGTGCTGGAGACTGAAGGTCTCCGAATGCTTCTCCGAATGTTTCTAGACAAGCACGCCCTCGCCACGATTTTGATATTTTCGCTATTGACGCTCTTTGCTCGGCAGCACAGGCAATGTAGCCCCACCATCAATACTTCAACCAATCCCCCACTGGGAGTCTGAGGTCTGCGCGGTTGCCTCGGAATGTAGTTCATGTACTGAGTCTGTGTGGCCGTGCCCCCTCCTGCAATAGAAGCACGCGGTGCACTCTGGAAATAGTAGTTGTGTGAGACGACGATGGTCGCTATGACTACTATATTAAATAAGGTATTAGTACATGTATGGTATTAAACAGCTGTGTTTCCGCCCAGATGCGACTGACTCTCTGCACCAGTCCCAGCCCATGATGGCGAGCCGAGCCGAGCCAAGCTTTTTCCTATCTCGCCCGCTCTCTCCTCTGTCGGTTCTTCATTTTCCATTTAGACTTCTGCTGGCGATCAGTGTAGCGCTCGTTCCAACCACCGACAGCAGCAGAAGAATATGAAGGTCGCCAAGGGTCTGGTTCTCGCCGCCGTCCTGTGCGTGGCGCAGGTCAACGCCATCGACTTCACGTCGTCGGGCCTCTCGGGCAGCGCCGCCGGCACCGTGTCGGCCTCCTCCACCGACAACGCCGACCAGACGCAGCAGCAGCAGACGCAGACCACCTACTCCTCGGGCGGCTCGGCCGCCACGGGCACGGGCTCGGCCACGACGTTCTCGACCGAGTCGTCGGCCGCCACCGGCTCGGCCACTACCTTCTCCTCGGGCGGATCGGCCGCTACAGGCTCAGCCACCACCTTCTCGTCGGAGGCCTCGGCCGGCTCGGCCGCCACGGGCTCGGCCACTACGTTCTCGAGCGAGGGCAGCGCCGAGGGCGGCGCCACCGACTCGGCCTCGTGCAGTCAGGAGTTCTCTGTTGCCGGCAGCGGCACTGAGGACAGCAGCGCCGTGGGTAGCGCTCCCGACTCGGCCTCGTGCAGCCAGGAGTTCTCGGTCGCCGGCAGCAGCGACACCGCCGACGACTCGTGCAGCCAGGAGTTCTCCGTTGCCGGCAGCGGCGGCGACGACTCGTGCAGCCAGGAATTCGACGTTGCTGGAAGCGACGACTGCTCTCAGGAATACGACATTGCCGGCTCGGAAGACTGCAGCGAAGGCTACGACATCGCCGGATCGGACGAGACTGACGACAGCACGGGGACGTCGACGGACACGACGACGACCACGACTGGCGGCAGCAGCACTGGCACCTCCACGGACACTACCACAGATACCTCCACGGACACGACCGGCACTGGTACCGACACGACTGGCACGTCGACCGATACTACCACCGACACTGGCGCGTCAACGGACACCAGCACGGAAACCTCGGCGGACACGACCGGCACGACATCCGACACTACGGGTTCGACGACGGACACCATCGAGGACACGGGCGGCGACACGACGCAGCAGGACACGTCCACGGACACCACGGGTACCACTGAGGACACTGGTGCGTCCAGCACGGGCACGTCCACTGACGCCACGGACACGTCCACTGACGCCACGGGCACGACCGATGACACGACCACGGACACCACGGGAACCACCGAGGACACCGGTGCCTCCACCACCGACACGTCCACAGACACGACGACTGGCACGACTGATGACACGACGACTGGCACGACCGATGACACGTCCACGGACACCACGGGAACCACCGAGGACACCGGTGCGTCCAGCACGGGCACGTCGACCGACACGACCACGGACACGTCCTCCTATACTTCCACTGGTACTTCCACCGACACCACGACCACGGGCAGTTCGACTGGCACGTCGACGGACACTGGTGTCGAGGCCGCTTCGGACGACTGCTCGGAGGGCTACGACATTGCCGGCAGCGACGACTGCAGCCAGGAGTACGACATCGCCGGCTCGGACTGCTCCGAGGAGTACGACATTGCCGGCTCCGAGTCCTGCAGCCAGGAGTTCTCTGTTGCTGGCAGCAGCGACATTGCCGACGACTCGTGCAGCCAGGAGTTCTCCGTTGCCGGCAGCGGCACAGAGGAGGGCGGCGACACCGACTCCGCCTCGTGCAGCCAGGAGTTCTCCACCGCTGGAAGTGACGACGTCGAGACCTCCACGGGCGGCTCCGCCACCACCACGACCTCCACGGAGTCGTCGGCAGCCTACACGACCTCGACCGAGTCCTCGGCTGCCACTACTACCTCCACGGAGTCCTCGGCTGCCACCTACTCGTCGGGTGCCTCGACGGCCTCGTCCACGGCTTCGTCGTCTCCGGCCGAGTCTTCCAACACAGAGGCTTCGGGCTCGGACTCTGTGCTGACCTTCTCGCCGTCGGCCGCCGGTGCCTCGTACAGCGGCAGCACCACGGCTACGACCACCACATCGACGACCTCGAGCGGCACCGGCAACGCCGACCAGACGACGCAGCAGGAGACGCTCACCTCGAGCGGCACGGGCAGCAGCAACAACGCCGACCAGACGACGCAGCAGCAGACGGCGTTCAGCGTCGAGGCCGTGAAGTTCAAGTCGGGCGACGAGGACTCGGGCTCGAAGACTGACACCACCGCCCCGATTGTCGCGTCGGTCGCTGCCTGCGCCGCGCTGGCCATCGTCGGTACCGTGTACATGAAGCGACGGAGCAGCAAGAAGTCGAAGAAGGAGTCGAGCGACATCTTCACGATCGACAAGAACTCGCAGCTGTAAGTCGAGTCTACTAGACCCATGTCCCGTGCCGTACGAAGCGCCATCTCAACGCGTTGGTTGCAATGAATGAGAGACGTTGGAAGAGAGAGAGACCCTCCCCATCGAGAACGAACCGAGAGGAAGTGAGTGTGAGTGCGTTACCATCTTGTATGCCGAAGAAGAACTATGTGGATTTCGAGTATTTTGGAGCTGACTTCGAGCCCCAGTCTCTGCTCCCGCTCGCTCGCCGAACGCGGTCGTGTTTGTGTGTGTGTGTGTCGTTTTCCCTCGTCAGACCATCAGCACGCCGCGTCTTGGGACTGGCGTCTGCCTAGAGGCAGTAGTTTGTCTTTGAGTGAGTCGTGAGTGAGTTTCGAGTTTGTTCAAATAGAAAGCACCAACCATTAGATTCTTCATCTTCTTCTCTCTTCATTCTTTACTACGCTTCATTACACTACGCTGTAACCTGCCACCACCAGCATCGACAGCAGAACCCCCACCACAACAGAGCTGCGTTCCGACCCCGAAAGCCTCGAAGCGCCTGCAAATAATACACATCATCATATCCATCTCGCTCAGCATTACGAAAGTTTTGCCTATCCGCGCGAAAAGTTTCGGCTCGTGTCGTAACTTACCGCTCCTGGTGCCTTTGGCCCAGACCTCCACCTCTCGGATGCCGTAGATCACCCGCTCGTTCGTGTTGCTCGTCGTCGTGCTGATCCCGTCGTCCGTGCACGAGTACTGGTCGCTGCAGACGTTGGGCTCGCCTATGACCACGCGCACGTAGCGGAACTTGGACGTGACGGCGGCCAGCCCCTCCGTGTGGTTGTCCACCCGGTCATAGGCGTTGCTCAGGTTGAACACGGCGAGGATGCTCGTGAACTCGACGCCGTCGTACGACACGCGCACGCGGTAGCTGCGCGGCGACAGGAAGCCGTGCCAGCGCACCACGATGCGCGACAGCGTCGGCGCCAGCGCGCTCATGTTGACCTGCCAGAAGACCTGCTCGCTCGCGTTGTCGCCCGCCGACCACCAGCTCGTCTCGTCCGGGAAGCCGTCGTTGGCGTTGGCCGGCACGAACTCCGTGTCGTACAGCACATTCGGCGCGTAGTTGTAGTAGCTGCTCGCGTGCGCCGGCTCCCCCACCGCCGCGTTGAACCCCACGCCCGGGAAGCTCACGTCCCCATGGACGATAGCGACACCCAGCGCTGCTAACACCAGCAAGATACGCAATGGCATCGAAGATCCTCTTGGTCTAATTTTGAGGAGACCGTGAGCTGCAGGCAGCAACATGTCGGTGTCCGTTTCGTCTACATTTGCCACGTCGGACAAGTACCAGGGTCACTGCAGTGAGCTGCAGCTGGTAGCATTGCCGCCATGAACTCGAGTGCTGCGGCGTCCGCTGCGGCGGCCGCGGAGCTGCACCTCAAAATGTGCAAGAAGGTGGCGCAGCTCACCAAGGTCATCTTCCAGCTCAACACGCGCAACGAGGACTACCAGGCCGAGGCGGAGCACACGCGCAGTGCACACGCCGCGGAGATCCAGAAGCTCACGCAGGACGCAGTGGACAAGATGCGCGCGCTGCAGAACAAACTGCAGACCCAAGCGGCCACTGCAGCGCAGAGAGAGCGACAGCATGTTGCGGATCGACAGAAGCTCATGAGTGAGGCGCAGCAGCAGCAACGCCGGACGCAGGCGAGTCGCGCGGCCGCGGAGGAGGCTTTCCAGGCCAAAGTGACGGAGCTCGAAGCGCAGGTTCATGACGCGCAGCGGGCGTTCGATGAGCGCGTGGAGCAGCTCACGCAGCTCGCTGCGGTCGATGAGAAGGAGCGAGCTGTGAGCGCGCAGCAGGCGGCGCTGGAGTTCGACGCCAAGATGGACGAGTTGAGGGAGAAACACACCGACGAGGTGGAGCAGCTCGTCACGACGTCCAACGCTAAGTTCAACAAGATGCTGGCGGAGCAGCTTCGAGCCCAGGACGCGCTGAAGGCGGACCTGGTGAGCGCCAAACTTGACTGGGAGAAGCAGAGGCAGGAGGCGACAGCAGAGCACGAGCGCAAGCGGCTAGAGCAGGAGGTGGCGGCCAAGACGGCGTTCGACAAGATGAAGCACGAGCTGGTGACCAAGATCGAGGCGTTGCTGGTGGATGTGGAGGCGCTGCGCGGTAGCGAGACCAAGCTGCGCGAGGAGAAGGAGGCGATGGTGAAGACCCAGCAAGAAACAGCACGGACGATGAAGCAGTTGGAGCTGCAGCTCTCCAAGGCCCAGCAAGACTCGCAGAGTGTGCGTCGAGACGCTTCTGCTCACGCTGAAGAGCTCCAGCGCATGCTAGCGGTCAGCACCGACAAGATCGACGAGCTCGCGCAAGAGCTTGTGACGCTCAAGCAGACGCTGCAGACTCGAGATCGAGCGCTGCTTCAGGTGCAAAAAGACCTCGAGGCTGCGCAGATGGAGACGCTGAAGCAGAACGCGAGTGCGTCGGAGCTGGAAGCGCAGCTCCGCCAGCAACTGAATGAGCACGAGCTGCAGCTTGCGAACGGCAAGAGCGAGGCGCTGCTCGCGTCTCAGCGACTTGAAGCCGGCCAGAAGCAGATCCACAAACTCGAACTGGAGCTAGCGGCTGCGTTGAAGTCTGTGGCCGATATGCAGACGGAAGGCGCCAACAGCACGCTCACTCAAGCCAAGCTGAAGCAGGAGCTGGCGCGCGCAGAAGCCGAGACGAAGCAAGCGAAAATCGACAGTGAGCGAGCGTTGACGCTGCTTCAACAGACCCACGAGACCAAGCTTCAAGAGTTGATGAGCTCCCACACGCACGAGATGGAGACACAGCGAGTGGCGGCTGCGAAGCAGCTGGAGCAGTTGGAACTGCGTATGAAGGAGGCGTCGGCAAAGTCGACCGATGAGAGGATAGCGGAGCTCAAGAGAGAGCACCAGCAGGTCTTGGCTGAGCATGAGGCCGCTTCAACCTCTGCGCAGACGAAACTCCGCGACGACATTGCTAAGTTAGAGGCGCAAGTGAAAACATTAAACGACCAGCTAGCAGCTCAGCTCCAGCAGTTTGCAGAGTTGCAGAAGAAGAATGCAGATTTGACCCGACAACTCGAGAGCTCCCGGCAGCAAGTGGCTTCATTACAATCTGCTAAAGACGCTCTGCAGTCGTCCACGCTGAAGTCGCAAAAGGAGCGGGATGAAGCACACCAAAACCGATTTCGAGAGCTTGAGTCGCAGCATGGGACCGCTATCAAGGCCCTTACAGCAGAGAAGACCCAGCAAGAGCAGCAGCACGCCAAAGCCATTCTCCAGCTGGCTCAAGACCATGCAGACGCTCTACGGACCAGCACAGAGCGGCTTGAGTCTCGAAGGCTAGAGGAACTTGCAGACCAAGAGAAGCGCATGCGGGAGCTGTACGAACCGCAGCTCACCAAACTCCAAGTAGACGTTGAGAGCCTGCAACGAGCTCTTGGAGCCTCAACCGAAGAAGCCTCTGAAGCGCGACGATCGATGGAGGAGACGAGGCTTTTCGAGCAAGAGCAGCTTCGTAGCGCCATCGTCGGGTTTGCCGAGCGAACGGCAGCAGATCGAGCTCGTGCAGAGCAAACGTCGCGCCAGGAACTGGAGAAACTTCGTCAGGGTCACGCGAACCACGAGCGTGAACTGGAAAAACGTTTTCTAGACGAGTCGACAGCTCAACTTTCAAGTCTCCAGGCGAAAGCTGACGCCGACCTTGCTCGGTTAGTATCGGAGCATCGCCAAGAGCTCCAGACGTCTGCCCAGCTACACGCCGAGGCATTGCAGAAGCTCCAGGAGAGCTTGAACAGTGCGCAGGAGCGCTCCATCTTGGCCGAGAGAGCAGATGCTGCTAAGCAGCTCGCCGAACTCAGCTCCAAGAAAGACCGGGAGCGCTCGGAAGCTCTGCGCGATGCTCAAAACGCTCACGACCAGCAGTACGGAGAGCTACGCACTGAATTGGACTCCACGAAGGAAGCGCTGGCGAAGAAGACGCTGGACTGGGCGAGTGCGATGCGCGACGGGCAGAGTCTCAGTGCTGCGTTGGCCGCCAAGACCGAGGAGATGGCCCAGAAGCTGGCGGTTCTGGAGAAAAGCTCGCGCGAGCAGGTGGAGACGCTCAAGTTGGCTGCGAAACGCGAGATGGACAAGCTGCTGGAGGAAAACCTGGCCGAGACGAAGCAGCTGAGCGACCAGTTCGAGGAAACTCGACGCGTGATGGCCGAAAAGGTGGCGCACCTCAAGACGACGATCGCCGAGTGGCAGGACAGGTACGCGCGCCGTGAGAGTCGCCCCGAGGACGTCGCGCGCATCGTCGAGCTGGAGCGGTACGTGGTGGAGAAGGACGCGCTGGTGCGGCGCACGCTGGACGAGATGGCCTACTTCAAGCGCGAGCTGCTCAACCGCGAGGAAATGTACAACAAGACCTTCGCGCGGACGCCCAACGTCGGGATGCTGCAGGTGCTCAAGCCCCACGTCCAGCTGCAGCAGCAGATGCAGCAGTCGATGAACCAGCCGATGCAGACGCTCAACCCGATGCACGCCACTCCACCGCCGCGGTCACGAGCCAAATCCAAGACTCCAGAGCAGCCAGGAGAGTTGACGCGGAGACGCAGCGAGCGCAGCGGACTCAGCGCCTCGCCACCGTCCACTGCGCCGTCGTCAAGTAACCAGAAGGCGCTCCCCCCACTGCACAATAACCAGGCCAGCTAGAGACGTTACCGGTAAACCACTTCAACTTGGATGTAGCCATTTACTTAAAATCTCTATTTTTAGAGATTGGGGTCTGCAAACATTCTCTCTCGTTCTCTCATTGGCTTAAAATCTGTTCCGTATCCACACACACAAACTGAAAACATCATAAAGCGTCAAGATGGCGACGGTGGACGCCGAGCTGCAGCGCGTACGTACGGCTCTGCGAGGGCGTTAAACGGACCAAACGCTGCATCCACCACGTGTAGCCGAGACTGCGGGCTTCCTGCTCATGTTGTTCTCGTGCTGATTGGCGGCTTCTGTGCTGCGTATTCTATAGATCGCGCATATCGCGGACCAGAAGGAGAAAACGGCGGCCTACAAGGCAAAGAAGCACGCGCGTGTACTGAGATAAGGTCAATAGTGAGGATGGACACTGACGTCCTGCGTTCACTCTGTACTTGTAGTCGCTGCTGGAGGAGAAGCTGCAGGACCTCGCCAGTCTCAAGACCATTGTGACGCACTGTACGGCCGTCACTAGTCCTACTCAAGATCTACAGTACTAACGCCCCAGTGTGTTTATGTTATCTCAGTACTGGGAGAAGATGTGCTGCTGGTGATCTCCCGGGCTGTACGTGCACGCTACATGCGTGGCCCTAGCCTAGTCAAGCCCAGTACCTAACGATCCGTCCATGCTGCTATGGCTGCAGGCTATCACGCACTTGGCTTCTGTTGTCGCGGGCATCGACGTGGACGCGCACCCGTGGAAGCTCGAGTTCATCTGCTTCTGCCTGGCCAAGATCAAGCCGCGCATCCTGTCGTTCGAGGAGCCCGACGTCATGTTCCGCGAGTCGCTGGCGGCCATGTACATGGACGAGGAAGAGTACATCGAGGCGGCCAAGGCCCTGGCCGCCATTAACCTCGAGAGCTCCACGCGCCAGTACAGCGACGTGGAGAAGGCCGAGAAGTACGTCAAGATCGCCGAGCTATACTTGCAGGAGGACGAGACGGTGGACGCCGAGAACTTCATCAACCGCGCCTCGCGCTTCATCCACAACGTGGAGGACTGGGCGCTCAAGCTGCGCTTTCAGGTGTCGTACGCGCGCATCCTGGACTCTAAGCGCAAGTTCTTGGACGCTGCGTTGCGCTACTACGAGTTCTCGCAGTCAAAGCCGGACGAAGTGGACCCAGATGACCTGCTGGAGCTGCTGAGCAAGGCCGTCACGTGCGCTATCCTGGCGTCAGCTGGCCCGCAGCGCTCGCGCCTTTTGGGCACGCTCTACAAGGACGAGCGCGTCAAGAACAGCGAGCACGTGGCGATCCTGGAAAAGATGTACATGGAGCAGCTGATTCGTCGCCCGGAGCTCGTGCAGTTCGAGAAGAGTTTGCTGCCGCACCAGAAGGCCGTGCTGTCGAACGGCTTCACGGTGCTGGAGAACGCCTTTCTGGAGCACAACCTGCTAGCTGCCAGTCGCGTGCACAGCAGCATCTCGCTCGAAGAGCTGGGCAAGCTCCTTGAGATCGAGCCCGCCAATGCGGAGCGTGTGGCGGCCACTATGATCGGTGAGGAGCGGATGAAGGGCAGCATCGACCAGCACCTGGGCTTTTTGGAGTTCGAGAACACGGAGGACGAAGTGCTGGCGGCGTTCGACACGCGAATCAGCTCAGTGTGCTTCAACGTCAACCAGTGCGCCGAACAAATCGAGCAGCAGTACCCCGACATCGTGCGCTCCCTCACGGCTGCTGCTGCAACGGCGACTGCTCCGTAGAGCGGGGAACGCCAGGCACTCGCAGTGGAAATACAGTGAGTCATGCACCGTTTCGGGCACGCAAACTAATCTTGGTAAGTGACGAGGCCTTTTATTCATTCGTTTGCTAGAGTTTTTGGTTTCGGGGTTACCAGTTTATTCCATTGAAACTCGAGTTGCTCTATGACTAACCCCGTGAGCTCTACGAGAGCGTGTTCGGTCAGCACCCCGTTCCACCCGCGATACGGAGGCAGCTAGTCTTCGACGACAGCGTCAAGCAGTTGGTGAGCACGACCCAAATGAAGCCGAAGGTGATGTAGCCGACCGTGACGAAGCCCATGAGCTTGCTCTTCCCGCCTGTGCGTTTGAGCTCGTGAGCGTGGTCCTTCTGTCTCGGCAACCAGCACACGAAGGCGATGGACGCGAGGTTGAACGCGTACGCAATAAGGTATGCGTAGGTCACGTGCGTCCGCACTTCGTGCGTGTCCTTGGTGATCTGCGCCGTGGTAAGCTTGAAGTGGGCGTCGATGGACTTGTACATGACGGTGGAGAAGGGGGTGCCGATGTTGTTGATGCTGATGATCAAGCCCATGATGGTGGCCTCACTCCCAGCCTCAGCGATCTCAACGACAAAGAGCTTCGCAATGAAGTCGTGGATGCTGCTGGGGACTTCAGCAATGAGCGGGACGCCGAGCCAGAACCACTGACTGCGGTATACGTCCCAAATGGTGAAGAAGGTCGGGAAGCAATCGATGGCCACGACGAAGATCTGGCACGAGACGACTACCCAGCGCCAGTTCCAGTGGAGTCCCCACTTGCGCACCGCCCACAGCGCCGCAAAGCTAATAAAGGACGATAGCATACTCGCAATGCCGTCATTGAGCGGCTCGACCTTGGACCAGGTACTCTTGATTTTGCTGGCCGCGGTGACCGAGAAGCTCGAGAAGATCTGAGTGAAGAAGCGGAAGGCAATGACTTGGTAGATGACGCGGTACTGGATGAAGTCGTACAAGTACGCGAAGAACGCGCCTGTGGGTTGAGCTGGAGCCTTCTCCTCCGTGACGCAGAACCAACTGAGTGGAATGGTGATGAGAGAGAACCCCGCGCAGATCCCCATGACGCCAGCAAAGCTCAAGTCCCATGAGAAGGTCCCGCCGTACGCCTCGCTATTGAGTCCCAGGCCGGTCATGAATGCAGCGAAGATGCCCCCAGCTGCAGTCACAATGGCGATATCCGTCTGGATGGTACCCCGAATAGCCTCCGGTTCTCTCTGCGCCAGCTCGACCAGGTATCCGTCCGCTGCTCCGTACGCGATCACAGTCCCCAAGTGAGCGAGCACGAAGAGGACGATGAGCTTGATGCCGTGGTTGGGCGCGTCGTAATAGATCAGCGCCTGCTGCTCCAAGGTCCACTCGCTCTCAGGTATGTTCTTGAGGGACCAGTCTTCGTAGTAGGGCTCTCCCAGGGGGATGACGGCCATGACCAAGAAGCAGACGAACGAAACAGCCCAGCCTGCAACCATGTAGGGCCGACGACGGTAGCCGCAGATCGGGTAGCAGTCCGAGATGAGGCCGGTGAACAGTCGAAGCGCGTTGGGGACCTTCACCAGCGCGGTCGCGGTCGCCACCAGCACGGCGCTGAGGTTTAGGTAATTATTGAGCACCGAGTAGATGACACTGGTGATGGAGCCGTAGGTGACAGCGATGGAGATCTGGTGGGCCGCCAGGCCTAAGTTCTGGCGTGAGAACAGCGAGGATGGCGGGCCACCGGGGCGGAGAGCGCCGTCTTCGAGGTCGGCGGGGGACTTGAGACCATCGATGAAGGCGGTCGAGGCAGACGGCATCGGCGACGGCACCTTTTGTCCCAGTGCGACGGAGGAGAGCGAAGACCGATCTACTGAAGTGGGGGAGCCCATGGTGGTTGGATGGAGGCGAAAGCGGAAATGAGCTCTGCTGAAGCTCAGTCAAATGTGCTGGTGATCTCGATGGCCATGATATGGTGGCCCTGCTCAAGGGCCTCAATGACTCACTCTGAGTCGTAAGTCACAGTCTCTGCTGCAGACGAACTGATGCATGTAGTACTCTGACACGTGCCTCCGACCAACCGAATGCTGCGGAGCATTCGCAGCACCGGAGCGGCGGATCGTGCAGCACAATTCGGGTTTGCTGGTGTTCACCCCCAAGCTCTCCAGGGGCGGCGACCGAAGCAGAACTTGAGTGAGATCAATCAGTTTGATGAATGAGGCCATTGCGTTGTGAGTGCGCGGGTCGGTCTCCTCGTGACACCATGGAGCTCTTTGTGAACCTACTGCAACGGTTTACGCTTGGAAGGGGTCACGCCAATCGTCCCACGATGGCCGACCGACCACCTCGCCGACTGACCGGCGCTCAGTATGGGCTCCCCAAGCTGGTCAGCGCGCCGTCGTAAAGTACGTCCGTCAGCAATGAATCATCACCAGGCTTCGTCAAACTACGATATCCGTCCTAGTGCCTATATTACCTTAATGAAGGAAGGCTGGGGACTAATATAGGATGTATCTCTACTCGATACTTAATGAAGCGGATGACTTTCACTAGCTCCAAGTACTGCGAAGCATGTAGCTCGTCTTCTGGCAAGAAATCGGTGAGTTGACCCCAATGCTCGCTCTTCATGCGTTTCAGGATCGAGATCTCCCCATGTCTCGGTTGTTTTGAGCTTAAATAGGCGGTCGACATTGTTTCCAAACCTTCGATCGACTTGATACTCTTCCTTCAAGCTACGATGCTGGGCCCAAATTTTCCCTACCACCGAATCGCCGTACTGCCTGGAAAATCGGTCTTCATGCCTGTTAAATGACTCGGCAAATGCGCCATGAGTGATAAGAGCAGATACTTTACGAGTCGCGATGGCGTATACTGTGTCCTGGGCGGACAACGTAATGTCCAGGACCCCGTCAATAGATCCTTGTTCAGCATCACGAACTACGAGAACCAAGCCAAACTGTCTCGCATCTCTTGAAGTTCACTCGAAAACAATGACGCCTTACACTCAGTCTTCATCTCACTTGGGCGGTTCTGGAGCGTTATCACTAGCTTATTGCGAGCCGAGTACTGTACTGCTCGGATAGAGTGACATGTTTGTACTGCAGTTACTCAAATCATAACTTGGCTGGTGTCGCGAGTCGCATTGTCGGACCGGTTTGGGGCCGGCCGCCGCTGTATTGGAGTAGTAAGTGCTGCCTGTGCTTATAGGTTTATGGGGCACAAATAGCAAGGAGGTCACTAAGCAAAATGCAATAAGTGTTCCTTACGACCTGTGTGGTCCTTTTAAGCAAAATTCACGACTGACCTTCCTTCTACTCCTAACTCTTCTTCTCTACCTCTGCAGATCCTTGCGTTTCAGTGCCTTCGGGTGACTCCGTTCCCGCTCACCCCTCCCAAAGACTTGATCCGTTCACCTTGACGGCCCTCAAAGCCGCCCAACATGCCATCCGTCCCCGAAGTCCCGCCACGACACTGCGAGGCACATCATCCCTCCAAGATACCTCTGGGTAGCGGCCCACGGGTCTCCACCTTCGAGACAACCCGGCCCACGGCACTACTTCTCGCCCGCGGCCACAGCAGGTGGACGACCTCAGGCACTCATCGTCGCCCACGCAGAGTTGGAACGGTCCGAGCCGTTCCGACTCGGGGCATCCTCGCCGAGCGCACGCAGCTTGATCCACTTCTCTCCTTGCTTGCCAGGCCCTTCGTTTGGCCTGCAATCCACTTCGCGTCCGCACCTGCACTCTCGGCGCATTGCCCCCGCCGTCCATCCTCCAAAATGCCTCACTTAGACGCTCAGCCTGCTCCTGCTCCTCGAGAGTCGCGCACCACACAGCGTAGCCCTCCGTGGCCATAGTCAGCGGCGAACGCTCGCCCGCCGACGCCTCGTACAACCTCCACAACTTACTGGTTATGCATACCAGCGCAACCCAAACATTCACCACCAGCAACCAGTAGTTAGTCACTATTGCATGCTCGCCCTCCTCGGGGGCGAACCAGCAATCAAAGACCACGACTACAGCGAACACGCCGGCCACGCCCTGGCAGATCCACTCGACGACTTCGTAGGTGAACAACACGGCGTAGAACGCCGAGAACAGGATCAGGGACGTCAGCGTCCATACCACCTTGGCGACAAGCTTGGCACGGGCGACCGAACGGCCAGACTCCAGACTCGCGCCCGTGCAGTACTTGGAGCACGCCTTCCGTCCCGACGCCCAAGTCTCAGGCAAGAAGACGCACCACCACTCGTGGAGGGCGTCAAGCCACTTGTAGAGCAACCTCCCCAGCCCGTCTTCATGCTCGCCCTTGGACTCCAGCACAACCAACGGGGTGGCCAGCAGGGCCTCGTAACACTTCCACACGCGAGTTCGGAGCGGCTGCATTTGCACGGCAGGCCCACGGACATACCTGCAGTAGCGCATGACGCATAACTTGGCCAGCACGCTCCACTTCAGGGCGAAGTCGACGAACGCAGCGGCGATCCGTGAGCCGATGCTTCGCAGAGGCCCCGTAACCGTCCACGACACTGCTCCAGCAGTGAGCCACGCCAGCTCCCAGCGACGCTCCACTGCAATTTGACAAGCTGCCTCAGCAGCGACCACCACTATTGCCGCCAGGCCGTTCACCACGTCCGTCGCCCACTCCATCGTTCCAGCAGCACTAATTCATAATGACGGCCACTTCGACGCCATCCGAGTCGTCCTGACCGTCCGCGCGCGCCACTAGCGGCAGCCCTTGGCGGTCACCATCGACCTGCAGAGGCGCAGGGCAGCCAAGGCCCCGTTACTGCCAGTTGGTCACCGGCGTCGCTTGCGGGTTCTTCGAAAGTGACCGACCAGTTGGGCGTCTCTCTCAGACGGTCGCAGCCATCCACAACGTGAGTCACATTTCGTCAATTCACTTGAAGTCACGTGGTAATCAGAAGTTGCCGTAGCCGCCCCACTGAAAGTTGCCTCATTCCGCAATTTTCGCCGGGCCGCGCACCAAGCATCTCTCCGCTCTCTCCCAGGCCTCGCCCCGCCTCGCGTCCGTCATGGTCAAGAAGACCAACTCCGACGTCACCGACTTCGACAACCAGGTGGGCAGCCTGGACATGGCCCTCGAGCTCGACGACGAGGGGGACGTCTTCATCGCGCATCGCGAGTTTTGGGCGCGCCTCCGGACCCGTCTCTCCGTCAACAATGCGTCCCAGGGGCTAGACGTCCTGGACGCCATGGCCATAGACGTCCTGTCGGGAGGCGACGCGCGCCGCCTGAACCAGATCCTCGTGATCCTGCCGCACCCCGACGAGATGCAGGCCGGCGAGCCTGCCGAGCACTTCGTCCTGTCGATCCCGCTGCCGCCGTTGGTGCCCACTCCAGAGTCGACGTCACCGCCACCGCGTCCATCGACAGGGACCAGATCGTCGCCACGGACGTCTTCCAAGACGAGACCGCCATCGAAGAAGAAACAGAAGGCCGCGGCCAAGAAGAAGGCCGAGGCCTACGACTTCCGGTTGCTGACGACGGCGCCCGCGCGACTGAAGATCGACCTGGCCGCACTTGCGCAGCGCGCCTTCAGCAAGGGCCTCGCTCCGTTCCGCTTGGCGTACCCCTGGCGCAAACAGCGGTGCTGGTACCCGCCATCCGAGTATCCCGAGTTGCACCTCGTCAACTACCGTGCCAACATGCGCTTACGCGAGCTGTTTTTCCTGTGGGCGCTGTACGCGCCTTGTCTGAATGCCGACCAGCGGCGCAAGGAGAAAATGAATGTGTGCCGAGCGCGGAACGAGCTCATTAGCTACAACATCGAGGAGCGAGGGTACTTCGGCTTTCTCGACGACTTCGAGAACGGTGCTCATGACACGCTCATGTGGTTGGGAGGCAGAGCGGCCAAGCACTCTGCCGGCGCGGCTAAGAACAAGGGCGCGGCGCACGAGGACCTCGGCGTTGTCTTCGCAAAGGACAAGATTCTCTACGAGTGGGCCATCGAGCGAGCTCTCGTCCCCAAGATCGTCGACGAACACGGCTACGCCTCGATTCCGGAGCTCCTCGAGGAGGCGGAGCTCATCGACCCCACGCGAGCGCCACACCTGCGACTCTCCGACAAGGCTCTCGGTCGCATCAAGCTCGACGTCACCAGCGGGCCGCCCCCCGTGCTTTCTTGGGTGGGCAACCGAACCCGCGGTCCGTGGAAGGCCCTCTTGTCGGACGCGTCGCTCAAAGAGACCATCGAGGAGGTGGTCGAGCTCCTGGACTTGGGCATGGAGGTGGCCGTGTACGACCAGAAGCCCTTCAACCCCGACGAGCAGGGCGACGATGACTCGGACTTCGAGGACGAGGACGGAGCCTTCACGGCGTTGCCTCCGACGCCCCCCGTGCAGTACCGGGCTCCCGCCGTCAAACAGCGAGCTACCACTCCGTCCAAGCTAGGGGTTCCGGTTTCTCGCTCCAGCAAGTCAGGCGAGTCCGAAGACTCCAGCGACGACAAGAAGAAGCCGGCGGCCAAGGACGACAGCGACAAGGACGACATGGCCCAACCCAAGACCACCAAGGCCCCCGTCGCGGCCAAAGAGACGCTGCCGGGCGACGAAGCAGACGACGACGGCGAGGTAGCGAGCGAGCCTCCGACCAAGAAGCTCAAGTCGCGTTCCGCAAGCGTCGACAAGGCCAAGTGAGTCATGCGCACACCTCGGATCTCCGTTTATCTTCTTCATTTCGTTGTAGTCGAGTCTAGTACAGCCGCAGCACTAATTTTGCAGGTAAAACCAAATAAAAACATGAAATTGACATGCATATCCACCATTCTTGAGCTGCTCGTAAATCCATATCCACAATCACAGGTTCTTCAGCTCAAGAACATCACCAACTACGCCAGCAGCAAATAGTCATCATCGACTTGGGCGTTAGCGTCCGGCAAACGCGCACTTCGACGAAGCTCCGGCAACCCCTTCTTCCTCCTATCCGCTTGCTCAAAAGCGGTCACCAACGACGCATACTCGGGCATCAAAGCCTCCCTGGGCAGCCAGAACACCTCATACGAGCTGGTCATCGTCAGGTACTTCACGCCCTGACCGTCCTTCATCTTCGCCACTATTTCCACGATGGGGGCTTCCACGCCCACAATAACAGTGTCCTCATTTCCTAGTGTCAACCGTTCCGCGTAGCTCGACGCAGGGAGGTCGGCCTCTTCCAACGACCCCTCTTCTTCGTTTTCATCACTAGTGCCCAGACCCTCGGGCACTTCATCCATATAAGGCCGGGTCCACTTGCCACGATACCTTTTCAGCCTATTCACGTTCACGGTCACCGTTTTGCTAGGGTGAGTCGGGATGTCGACCCGATAAGCGTTCTCGCCGACCTTGGCTACGATCCGATAGGGACCGTGCCAAGCGAAGGCAAGCTTCTTCGTGCGCACTTCGCCGCGTTTCGCCCTGAACACCTGGTAGACCCACACCGGGTCTCCTATTTCATAATTCACTTCGCCTTGCCCTTCCAGGCGCTGCTCGTGCCGATCTTGCGCCTTCAACAACTGACGCTCAACCAAATGTCGCGAGGAACGGAGAGAGCTGTACAGATCTAGCCTATACTGAGCCACTTCATTACTCCGCCACTTCTTGCCAAGATTGAGGAAGGCCACGTCCATCGGAAGCACTGGGTCGCGCCAGTACAGCGAGAAAAACGGCGAATCTCCCAGGGCCTCGTGGTAGGCCGTTCTGTAGGCAAAAAGCACTCTAGGAAGATAAACATCCCAATCATCTTGAGCCTAACTCACATGCATTCGTAGCATTCCTATGAGCGTTCCGTTGAATCTCTCGACGAGTCCTTGAGTCTGAGGGTACCAAAGAGTTTCTTAATGCCCAACGTCTGATAGAAGGACTTGGCCACCTCAGACGTGAAGTTCGAGCCGTTGTCGCTCAGCAACCGCGACGGCACTCCGTGCCGAGACACCACATCACCTCCACGAACGTCCTGGAGTCCAAGCGCTCCACGGCGAACGCCTCGGCCCAGCGAGTGAAGTAATCAACGAAAACTAAAATATAGCGATTGCCACGCTCGGTTTCGGGCAGAGGCCCCACGGCGTCCACCACGAGCAACGAGAACGGCCCCGTCAGATCCACGATGGGCATTCTCTGCATTCGACCAGCGCGCCACGGACGCGCACCCTTGCCACTTCCGCACTTATCACATTCGCGCAAATACTCCTCGACGTCCTGTCGCCACCCTGACCAGTACGCGTGTCGCCTCACCTTCTCGAGCGTCTTCGTGAGGCCGAGGTGCGACGACAGTAGATCAGCGTGACAAAATTGTAAGACTGTTTCAACGAACGGAAGCGGTATCACGGGCACGGTCAGCGATCGAGCGGGCCCGACGCGCGCGGGGAGATTCACTCTGCGCGTCAACAGCTCGTTCTCGACGGCGAACTTGGATGCGATCCTCACAACCTTCACTCGTAAGCTAGGGTCCAGCGGCAGCGCTCCACCCACCAGGAACGCGATCAGGGCCATCACCCACGGGATCTTCCGCTGCTCCACCTTTAACTGCTCCATATCGAGTCCGAACAAGTCCACGGACGACGGAGGGACGTCCGTCGGCGCGGACTCGTCCTCAGTAGCGTCTTCCGGCAACGGAACCGCGGTCTCCGTGCCCATCTCGCCGCCGCTGTCTCTAGTCATCGGTTCGGGCGCCACGTTGGACGGCTCCCCGACTGAGTCGTTGGCCACGGTCTCGGGCGAGTCGTCCGGATTTAGCAAGTCGGCCATGCCCACAGGCGAGCCCCCCGGGTTCAGCAGGTCCGCCATGGTCAGCGCGTTCACACTCGCGGTAGGGAGGCGCGACAAGCCGTCCACGTGCCCTATGCTCGTCCCGGGCTTGTGATGCACTCGGAATTGTAGATTGGACAGCTCGATCGCCCAGCGAGCGAGCTTAGCATTGGTCGTGCGGTTGCCAGGACTGAAGATCCAGGTAAGCGCCTGATGGTCAGTGTAGAGATCAAACTCTCGCTTATCTAGGTAGCAGCGGAACTTCCGCGTAGACCAGACAATGCCCCAGCATTTAATTTCAGAGATTCCGTCTTGGTTGTTGATCCAGTTCTTCTGAGAGCCTGTCAGTAACTTGCTAGCATAGGTGACAGCACGGTCTCGACCGTCCACCACCTACATAAGACAAGCACCGGCAGCATACCTCGACGAGTCGACGTAAAGCTTGAATCGTTTCTTCATGTCCGGGTAGACTAGGATAGGAGGAGTGACTTGCGCCCTTTTCAGCTTGCGGAACGCCACCTCACAGTCCTCGTTCCAGACGAACGGAATGTCTTTCATTTTCAGGCGTTCCAGCGGCGTAGAGATCACGGGATATACCGGCGGAAGTAGCTCGTCAGCCCCCAAAATGAACGGATGTCATGCACATCGCGCGGCCTCTGCACGTTCATGACGGCCTTCACCTTCTCGGGGTTCGGGAGGATGCCCATGGGTGTCACAATGTGCCCGAGAAAGGCGACCTGACTCCTGCCCCAGTGGCATTTCTTCATCTTCAGTTTGAAGCCGGCCTATTGAAAGCGGGTCAGCACTTGCCGAAGGCGAACGAGGTGCGACGGGAAGTCCTCGCTGAAGATGACGCAGTCGTCCAAGTACACCAAGCACACGCGCCACTTGAGGTCGACAAGCACG